CAAGTCCCGTCGTCGGCCTGCCTGGAAAAAAAAAAAAAAAAGGTCGAGGTCCTCCTAAAAAAAAAAAGCAGGAACCTTCTATCAAATTTTTCGCATGCTGCTCTTGCCTTTTGGCGGATGCACCACGGCCCACGTTTGGATGAGTTACCAATTTCAAACGGGATGCTGAGTTTCGCTCCCATTAAAACAACAGGGGGCGAACCTAACCACAACAGGTGGCAAGGTTCGCTCCCCACTTTTGAACTTCTGGAGCGCTTCGAATTTTGGCGCCGTCATCCAGCGACGACACAACTTGTGCATGGTTCAGCAGCAGGGAGGAGGTGGTGGGGCGGCGAGGAGGGGGGCAACGCACTGACAGCCTGGGGAGCAACAGCGCGGCTGCGAGCCACGCACCGGCGGTCTGGGGAGCCACGCACTGACGGCCTGGGGAGCAACAGCGCTGCTACGAGTGAGCAGCAGTCGAGAGAGAGAGAGAGAGAGAGAGAGAGAGGGGGGGGGGGGCAGATTCCACTTTTTCGCATCTCTCCACAAACACACTCCGATTCAGGCGTGAAATCCAATGAGAGAGAGAGAGAGAGAGAGAGGCAAGGTCGTGACATGGGCGGTTCCTGTGAGAGAGACAAAGAGAGAGAGAGACGTGGGCGATTCCTGTGATCTCTCTCTCTCTCTCTCTCTCTCTCTCTCTCTCTCTCTCTCTCTCTCTCTCTCTCTCTCTCTCTCTCTCTCTCTCTCTCAGCGTGTTTGATTTTATCCTGTCACGTCTTATTGTCCTACCGTCTGTAAATGTTCAAAGGGATAGACAATCGCAGGCACAACCGGCTGCGGGTGAAAAAATACTACATCCCGGGTGCGGGCGGGCCATGTTTTTCTTGCGGGTGCGGGTGGGTCTGGGTGAACCTTTTTACTGGTGGCGGGTGGGTTGGGCGTGGGCGGAAAAATTCAAAAAAATGCTTGGGTGGGTTGGATCAGCTTCAAACCTTTTTTTTTTTCTTTTTTAAGGGTTGCATGTACTAAGAAAACTTTGGGTGGGTTGGGTGAAGTGGCATTTCAAAAGAAAAATGCTCATCTCTAAGGACGGATGTCAAGCGTTGGTACTCGACAATCCAGTCGACACTCGGCAGCATGCCTTGTTCAAAGACCATTAGCTTGTCCATTGCCTTGATCTCCGGTGGCTCTACTTGGAACCGCTTGTGCCACGCCGCCTGTCGATCATCCCTGCTGATCTTGGTATGCAAGTCGGCAGCTACCACTCCGTACTTGGACAAGAGATTGTCCAACCATGCCTGCACGCGCCCCCTGACTGGGAGTATAAGTACGCGTGGTGCTTGTGTTCTTTGACGTAGTGTAGCTGCACCGTGAGCTCGAACTTGCGGAACCATGGATTCGGATCTGTCTTCGTCGAGTCGCAGAAGATCTCTTGCCCGTCAAACTTTGGAGCTGTCTCGCGCGGTTCCGAACTCGAGTTGTTGGCGGTAGTACAGATCCGCTGCTCCAACTGTTGCGTTGCGGTCTGGTGTAACTGCACGCCGTCCTTGAGGGAGGCGACGTCCATCTCCAATGCTTCGAGGCGATCAGAGGTGTTGGAAGAGTTGGCATCAGGGGCGGCAACAGGTCGCTGCTCCAGCTGCCGGAGGTGTCCGTGGACTTGAGTCAGCGTGTCGTCGAGGCTGTGGATGTCCTCCTGTTGTGTAATGCATGTTGCCAGGAGGTCCATGAGATGGGAGAGGAGTAGAGCGATCTTGTTTTCGCTATCCTCCATCTTGCCATTCTCGGCCTCGGCCCGCCAATCTGCTTCATTGTGAGCAAAGTTTGCTCTCCGCTAAATATCTTCTCCCGCCGTTGAACTCGTTCTTCATCATCAGCCTTTGCTGCTGCCTCGTCGTGCTGGCGCTGCTGTTCAATTGCCAGCAGACGTGCCTGCTCGGCGTCCTCTACCTTCTTCTTCGCTGTTGTTGCTGCGTCATCCGCCCGTCTCTTGGTTTCGGTACTCCAGGCCAGCATCCGGGCCTGATAGGCCTCGTCTGTTTCCCCGGACCTCTGGTCCATGACGGTTGTTTGTGAACGCAAAAGCATAGACCAGGCCGGGGGCCTGCTGACGTGGCACTGTTGTCGGCTGACGTGGCCTGCTGACGTGGTCTGCTGACGTGGCCTGCTGATGTGGTCAGCTGACGTGGCAACTTGCCAATGCCGCCGCAGGGGGTACCCGGAGACTGAGAGAGAAGGTAAGACCAAAGGTGGCAACAACATAGGTGGGGAGGGGTGGGTGGGATAATAATCGCCCAGATAAGGAGCCACTAATCAACAAAGAAAAGTTTGAACTTTGCAGAAAAAAATTTCGAGAAAAATAAAAATCCCGAGTTTTGCAAGTTCAGTAGGTCTCCCAACCTCCTTTGAAGTGTGAAACTATCTCAACAGGTCTTGGAGACTCGGTGTCCATAAATTTCATGGACACTAAGGTGAGAAGCAGGAATGGGAAAAGCCAAGTGATGGTAATTGTTGATAGGTTCAGCAAGTTTGTAGTTTTTGTAGCATTGTCTGGGGAAGCTAAAACTGACTTAGTAATTCGGGAGTTCTTTAACCATTGGGTGAAAGACTACGGACATCCCTTGACTATCGTTAGTGACAGGGACGCTCGGTTCACCAGTGAACAATGGCAGCAACTAATGAGTGTCTATGGCTCTAAGTTGACAATGTCATCAGGCCGACACCCTGAGACAAATGGGCAAACTGAGCAAATGAATTACGTATGTACATTCGTCCCGATCAGGTTGACTGGGATGAACATTTGCCCAAAGTTGCTAGTGCCTATAATAACTCTGTGCACTTGTCTACTTGCAGAACTTCGATGGAGTTACATTTGGGATGGAGTCCTCGCAGACCTATAGACTGTCTAAACCCGGATAGAGTCCATAAACTCCCGCCAGGAACCAGAGAGTTCGGAGTGCAATATCAGAAAGATTTAGAAAAGGTGAAGGAAAACATAATAAAAGTGCAGCATGCCAGCATCAAATGATCGAACAGGCCAATAAACACAGGAGACCTTCTCAGTTTGCTGTAGGAGATCTGGTTTGGGTAAAATCGAAGGACACACACACATGCACATACAAACGCACACGTGCATACTCTCTCTCTCTCTCTCTCTCTCTCTCTCTCTCTCTCTCTCTCTCTCTCTCTCTCTCTCTCTCTCTGTCTCTCTCTCTCTCTGCATGCACACACACATGTGTCCAGATCGTGGCAACGGGTGAACCTTTCGCTGGCCATCACGTCCACGATGGACGGGACCTACGCAACCTCAAGGCATGATAAGAAACAGGGCTTGTCCTTCACACCTGTCCGATTCACGAAGTTCAAATCCAACCGATCTATGTCACTGCAGGTTTTAACTGCCCCAACTGTGCTAACACTTCTCATTTGTTATGATGAGCAGGAGGCCGCTATCGAGATCAATACTCTCGTGCAGACGATGGTCTCGAACGGGTTTAACAGGAAGCGATGCTAGAAGGTCGTCTCCAGGGTTTTGGAGAACAGGGAGAAGTACCAGCCAGGGAAATTGAACGATGGCATGGTCGAAGGTTTTTTTATTAATTGATTTCGCATGAACTAACAAGTGTATTGTGATGTATGTGAGTGTGTTGTGGTGACCGGGGGGCGGAGGGCCGGACAGGCCTGATGTCCCCCCGGTATCAGGCCGTCCGTCCCCTGAACGCCCACTGGTGGGAATGGGAAGGGTCACACACACACACACACACACACACACACACACACACAGAAGAAAGGAAAAGCAGGCAGGGGAGGAAGAAAGGGAAGCCCGATCGAAGGAGGGGCAGATAAGTGAAGGACTATGGATGCGCATTCAGGCTGACGATATTGGCTGGTTGGAAAATAGGTTTGAACTTTGCCCTTTTTGCAATCAGACTCATCTTCTTCACTTCTTAGCATGCATGAGAACAGGTGGCAATCGCACTGGCACCAGGCGCCCACACAAAGCTGAGAGATATCGTGGCCAAGAACACAGTTCAAATTCAACTTGCTTCGAATGGCTATGGCGCCTGTGCCCCTAACAACACCCTTCCAAGCTGTATCCTCAGCAACTGTTCACACGCAAGCTACTCTGGATCACCCTGGATGTCCCACACACTCACACAACGCACTGCACACTCAAACACAAACACGATGTAGTCTAACTCTAACCTAGTGCAGCTATGGCTGCTTGCTACCTCTACCACTAACTAGCGGCTATGGCCGCTTCATCTCCCTTTCAGCCCACTTCTTCCCCGGGCACTCACAGACCTCCTTGCACAAGTCGCTCAGGCAGCGCTTCCGAACGGCTCACAGTCTGAATGAATGAATAACTGGACGCTGCCTCTTGATTTATACTTCAGTTGGTCGCTGGTCTGCTCCTTTCCTTCGGGCCTAGGATGCACACAGTCCCACATGGTACTTGCTGACTGGACAAGGTGCGACTGGGACTGGGTACCGCTGGCTAGATCTGGTAAGTCTGCCCACTTGCCTACGGACTGCCTCCGAGACTCTCGAAGGGGCAGCCCTAGAAGACTCTAGACCTTCCTACTTGCCCTTTCGGTACTGTAGCAGCTACGACTAAGGTTGACCCTTCAGATCTACAGCAGCTACGACCAGACATAAGCTACGACACCAACCCTACAGGTAAGCAGTTCGAGCCTACTCAACCCTCGTTTCTGCAACAGACTTAGACAGACAACTTTAGGGGCAGTGTGACGAGGCGGAGGTAGAGCAGCGAGGTCGGGGAAGAGAGAGGGAGGGAGTGAGAGTACACACACACACTCACTCAACTCAACACGGACTCGACACGACTCGACGGACGCAGACATAAAGTGGCAAAGTGGCAAAGTCGCAAAGTCGCAATCTTGGTTCCGTACACAATGTCGCAGCAAGTCACACTGAAGCACAAGCACTGAGGCTGAAAAACTGAATCCCCAGCGGGCTTAAGTCCGGTCTTAAGTACCGGACTCAGGCTCAGTCCGGAGGGCCGAGGTGCGGCCTGCCTCAGGACTGAACTGAGGGTCGCAGGTCTGAGCCTGGGTGCCATAATGTCGGATGGCGCCAAGTATCGAAATCCGAAAGTGCCAGAGGCGGGATTTTGAGAACGGGCGCCAACAGTCTGGTACCGGAGATCAGAGACTCAAAAATGAAATAGCAGCCTGACGGGTGGAGGCCCGCGGACCAGGGATCGAGCCTTGGATGAGTCCATAACACTATCCCCGCCCTCTAGAAGGCAACGTCCTGGCTGCCAAAGACCCAATAAACAATTGTGAAGGACGGGACTGGGCCGATCGCTGGTTAGAAAAGGAAAGGGGGGAATGCAAGTGGCAGGGTAATCCTATCGAGGTTCTACAGGGATAAGGGAATCAATGCTCAAGTAACAGGGTAATCCTATTGAGGTTCTATAGGGATGAGGGAATCAGTGCTCAAGTAACAGGATAATCCTATTGAGGTTCTATAGGGATGAGGGAATCAATGCTCAAGTAACAGGGTAATCCTATTGAGGTTCTATAGGGATGAGGGAATCGATGCTCAAGTAACAGGGTAATCCTATTGAGGTTCTGCAAGTAACAGGGTAGTCCTATTGGTGTTCTATGAGGTTATAAGTTTGAGAAAAATAAAAAGAATTGCTTGTTCAATGCTCAAATGCTGGGATGTCTGAGGGGTATGGGAAAACGACGTCTCGGGTCTGTATCAAAGTGTCAAAAGCGAAAGTATGTCTTGAGAGAGGTCTTGGAGGGTGTCAGAGAAGAGGTGGTGAGGGAGCAGTCTTCAACATTTCTGTGACGTAGATGACGAGAGCTTCAGCTGGATTGTCCCAGGAGCAGGTTGCGTCCGGTACATGATCTGATGATGAGGTCTGATCCGGATAGCAGGTCGCAAACTGATCTTGATGTACTTGCCAAAGGTGCTGCTCCAGAAGTCTGCGAGTCCAAGGTGTCGGCCAAAGGGAACATCATGGTGGCCAACCAGCTGTCTTATCTCCTCGTATTGTGCTGCAACATGACATTGTCCTCGTGCACTTGCCATTAGATCCATTATCGTCGGCGACGCGCAAGGGCCACATAGAGAAGTTGGACAAGGGAGACAAGGATGTGGCGGAGGACAGATGGGAGAATGGGGCAAGGCGGAGACAAGGGCAGATCAGACAAGGGGGGGGGGGGTCAAGAGGCAAGGGCGTTGCTGGGTACAGGGGTGTGCGTAGAGCAGGAATGCGGGGTTTTGGTGGGGTCAAGGTGGGGTTTATGCAAGGGTTCAGGGTTTAAGTTATATTATGTATCTAGGATATAGGGTGAGCACGATCATAGGCGCAAACAAGTTTCTTAGCATTCTTAAGGTTAGGAAGAGGTTCCCATGTGGATTCTTCGCCAGGGTATCCAGTCCATTTAACTTCGTATTCTGTGATTGGTTCCGAATGGTCTGATACTTGTGTGGTTCGTTGACCTATGATGGATTCTACTACGAATTTTGGGTCTGTGGGGAGCATGATCGGTGGAGGTCTGGGGTAAGGGCGGTTAGCGAATTGGGGTGGGGATTCATGGTATTCTTTTAGGTATTCTACGTGGAAGACGGAGTGGGCACGACTCATGTCAGGCGGAAGTTGGAGTTTGTAGTTGGCGGGGGAGGTTTGTTCAACGATGGGGAAGGGTCCGAGCCACTTGTTCGAGAGTTTCGTGGACAAGCCGTGTTCGGGTTCAAAGCGTTTGGCGGAGAGCCAGAATTTGTCCGCTTCTTTGAATGACACGTCACGTCTGTGTTTGTTAGTCCTGTTTGCTTGTTGTTCTTGTGTTCTTTCAAGGGCTTCGGTTGCTTCTCTAAGGAGTCGATTCATTGTTGCTACCCATTCATTGAGGGAAGGGCAGGGCGTGGAGGGGTTGAGTTGCGAGGGGAGTAGGAAATCGGAGGGCAAGCGCGGATGATAGCCAAGGTCAAGGTAGAATGGAGACATGCCAGTGGAAGGACAGACAACGTTGTTGTAGGTGATCTCGGTGGCGGTGAGCAACTGATCCCAGTTGTGTTGATGTGGATGACAATACTTCTGCAGGATTCTTTGGAGAGTATCGTTCATCTTCTCGATTTGTCCATCGGTCTGTGGGTGGAATGCAGTGCTATACTTGAGGGTAGGCTTTAAAGAGGTGTTTCCAAAATTGTGAAAGGAAACGAGGGTCACGGTCGCTGATGATGTTCTCGGGGAGACCGTGATGGCGTGCAACATGATCGAAGAAGAGAATGGCGATGTCCTTGGCGCTGTGTGATATGGTGCAAGGGATGAAGTGGACGCGTTTAGTCAAGCGGCAGACAATGATATAAATGCAATCATGTCTGCGGTCATTCTTGGGGAGACCACAGACGAAGTCCATGGAAATGGACTGCCACCGGTGGGTGGGGATCAGCAATGATTGTAGCTTGGCGGGCTTGGCGCGGTTTGAGGGGTTGACGGCTTGACAAGTGGGGCATGAGCGAATGTAGGCTTTGACGTCGACGAGTAGGGAAGGCCAGTAGAAGTAACGAGAAATGGTGTCGAAGGTTTTCTGGAACCCGGGGTGTCCCGCAGTCTTGGCGTCGTGATGCTCGGCCACTGGGTACGGAGGCCAGGTGCGTCAGGATGTAAAGTTGGCAAGTGCCTTTGGTGTCAATGTAAAGAAGTTGGTCGTGAAGGGAGTAGTCAGGGACTGAGTCGAGGTCACGAAGTTTGTTGATTATTGAGAAATCCGGGCAAGAGAGGTAGCCTTGGGTATAGTGGTGGTGGAGTGATGGGAGGAGTTGGATATGAGTCATGACGGCGTAGGTGCATTTGCCGAGCTTGGCGTATAATTTTTGCTCTCTGAGGATAGAGAGGACTTGGCGGAGATGCTGAAGGTGGGACTCCAAGGTGGGGCTATARACAAGGATATCATCGAGGTAAACCACGACACAGACTTCGAGGAGGTCGCGGAAGATGTGGTTCATGGTGGATTGGAATATGGCGGGGGCGTTGGTGAGTCCGAAGGGCATCACGAGGAACTCGTAGTGCCCAAAGCGAGAACGGAATGCGGTTTTGTGGGTGTCCTCCTTGCGGATGCGGATCTTGTGGAAGCCACTGCGGAGGTCAATTTTGGTAAAATATTTGGCTCCACGGAGGCGATCAAGAAGCTCAGAGATCCGAGGTAGGGGGTACTTGTTCTTGATCGTGATCCGATTCAAGGCGCGGTAGTCTGTGCACATCCGGAGTTCTGATGTTCCGCCTTTCTTGACGAAAAGGCAGCTTGTGCTGAAGGGGGATGAACTTGGCTTAATGAATCCTTTTTCAAGGAGTTCATTGAGCTGCCGCTTCATTTCTTCGGCTTCCAGTCGGAGAGTTGGTACGGAGGGCGGCAAGGTGGAGAGTGACCGGGCTCCAAATCGATGGTGTGGGACACACCACGATCCGGAGGTAATCCGGCGGGTAAGGACTCGAGGAAGACGTCCTTGAACTCGTCAAGGATGGAGGTAAGGGCGGGGTCGGAAGGGGGGACGTGGTTGGGTTTGTTCGTTGGGAGCAAGTCCTCCGGACGCTCGAGATTAAGGACAAGGCACTAGTAGGTGGAGTCAGGGTACGTACGAGCCATGTGAAGGAATTGGTGCACGATGACGGAGCTTGGGGAGGGGGGATAGGGGAGATAGGGAATGTCGATGGTTGTGTCAGGGGGGTTGGTAAGGCGGATGAAGTTGGGGTGGAACGAGTATGGCATGTAGTGGTCCAGCCACGGTGTTCCCAAAACGATGTCGCACATTAAGTGCATGACATTGAATGAGACCTGACTGCGGAGGGTTTCGACAGTCATCGTGGTCTCGGGAACCGTGTGGTCTACTACTGCGGCGGTGTCTTTGTCCCCTAAACGAATCGTAATCAGGGAGTCGTAACCGGTAGAGGTAAGATCGGCACACACGTCGGTGATGAAGTTACCAGTGGCTCCAATGTCGAGGAGGGCTCGAAACTTAGTCATAGACACACCAAGAGTGGTGGCGATGAATTTGAGGTGAAAGCGTGACGAGTTGGCGGTGGAGATAATGGTGTTGAGGCGGCGTTGTTCATTGCCTAATCGGACAAGCCGATCGATTCGGGTTTGTTCGTCAACAACATCATAGAAGGTGACAGAGGATGGATTTGTAAGGAGGGTTGTCGAACATGTGGCGGTGAGGGGGGCGTCAGGCGACGAGGGTTGCGACGCCTGGGGGTCCTCCGGTGGGATGTGCGGCACTGGAGAGGGGGGAGGCTGGCGTATTGTCGATGCCAAATGGGCCACCGGTGGGGTGGAGGTTGTCACCGGTGGGATGGCCAGCAGACTAGTCGCCGATGCCGGGATGGGTTCATGGTGATCCTGGGGACGGTGTTCATGTGGAGGATGGACCGGGAGTGGTGGATGCGGAAGCAGCGGTTCGAGGGGCCGCGGACCGGGGTGCCTGACGTGTGAATTGTCCGACATTCAGACAGTTTGTCTGTTGACGTCCTAACTGTTGGCACCGGAAACAACCACCCTTTGCTTGGAGGTAGGTTCGCTCCTCCGACATGAGTTTCGTGAGACGGGTTGGGTGGGTGTTCGTGGGAGGATGGCTGGAGCGTTCTCTCTTTTGGCGGAGAGTTCGTCAGAGGAGAGTGATGTGGTGTCTAGTGGATCGGAGAGGATGTCGAGGTGGGGGGCGGAGAACTCGTTCGAGGAGGCAAAGAGAGAGGTTTCGTTGGTGATGTTATGAAAGAATTGTGGGCGGGGTGGGGCGGATGTGAGTGCGTCCTTGTACGGGGTGAGGAATTTGTCTAGGTGAATGGCGTGGTTGAGGAGATCGGAGAGAGACATCGGGGGGGGCGTGGATGAGGGAGGCGGCTAGGTCCTTACGGCATCCCCGTTTGAAGCGGGAGATGAATGCGGCATCGCTGACGTAGTCAAGGGGGATGTGTTGCCGCAACGCACGGACGTATTGGACAAAACGGTCGATCGGGCCGTTCTGTCGAAGACGACAGAGTTGCTCAAAGTCGTCATCAATCATCTTTTTTGGTCGGAATGTGCAGGTGATGAGACTGGCCCAGTGAAGGAAGGAATGGGGTTCCTCGTTTGCGTGTTGGCGGTTTGCTCGTTTGGTGTACCACCAACCAGCGGCGCCTTCCTGTAGCCTGGTGCTGGCAATAGGGAGCTCTGCGTGACAGGGACGTTGTGGAGGGAGAAGGCATCGTATAGTTTGCTGAGAAAGACGAAGACGTCCTTGTGAGGAAGGTCGGTGAAGGGGGGGATATCCATTGACCGGAAGGATGGGGGAATGTTACCCGTTAAGGGTGTTGTGGTGGCGAGGGTGTTGAAATCAAGTTTGGGTGAGGAGGACGGTACCCGGGTGAAGTCGGTAGTGGGATTGGTCGGGAGGAGTGTGGACGGAGGAGGTACTGGGATAACGGGGAGCAGGGCTTGAGTGTGGGGTTGATCTGGGTATGGGTGGAAGTGATAGTGGATGAAGTCATGAGGGGTTTTGACTGGGAGGGAACGGTTGATGACAGCGTGACGGCGGGGGTTGGCGTCTTGGTGACCAAGGTGGAGGTAGTGGTGGATGAAGGCGGAGGTGTGGATGACGTGCTAGCGGAGAGGGCGGTGGATGTGGAGGATGGGGTGATTGGTGTAGATGTGGAGGTGGAGGATGGGGAAAGGGTGGTGGCACCCGAGGTGGGGGGGGGGATGTGGTGGTGACGACCTGGATGGTGGGGGTGTGACTTTGAATGGTGGTCACGCAAGCAGAGATGGTGGAGACGGATGTTTTGATGTCGTCCATGGATGACTGGAGGGATGTCATCATGCGGAAAATTGCCGCGAGGTCGATGGCGGCATCGGGTGCTGGTGTTTGCTAGCCTGTGAGGTTGCGGACGATGCTGTCGATGGAGTCGGTGCGGATGCCGGACATATCAATGCTGGATGATTGGGCCATGGTAGGGGAGGAAGCGGTGGTAGCGGCGGCTGAGGTGGCATAGGCACTCCCGCATGCAGTATCTTACCAAAAGATCACTGATCTCCATATCAGCATCAGGCACGATACCTAAACGGTTTCTGCCTCCTCGCACGATTTATATGCACAACACTGTGATGATTGACTTCCTACAATACTCTTCCCTTTCCTAATAGACAACACGGGCCTAATTTTAGCCGCTTCTACTTGACGAAATAAAAGATGTCTATGATCATTTCTTCCATACTCAGCCCTAGTGATTCGTTCCCCCCCATCGATACTCATGAAACCAAGTCCTTGGAAACTGCAACTCTAGGTCATCTGTCTGAACGACCACCTGGGCTATTATGACCCTACACAACCACAGTAAGATCCCATGGTGGGCTGAATGGCTTTGTAAATCCTGTGCTTGCCTAACGAGGATAACGGGGGCTGCACCGATATATTACTTCGGAGCTTGATCATGGTATGATTACCGTATCATGTTTCGGCATGTTATCTCTAGAATGACATACTTTAACACACACACACACACACACACACACACACACACACACACACACACACACACACACACACACACACACACACACACAGTAAACGCATATGAATGAGTGTCATTAAGAGAACAGACAACATAAGTTACCCTTTTACTCTGCCTCAGTGCCTCCTTCTATAGCGTGCAAGTGGGCCGTAAAGGCACACGGGGATGTGGGCAGCTGGCGCTCAACCATCATCAACGTGGCCAGCCTTGTACGTGATAGGCACAGTAAGAGGGGAACTGCAAAAACAAAGAAGATGGGAGGCCTCCCAATGTTAGTTGATGAAAGCATAATAAAGAAAACGATAGAACATACTTATTGTGTCTCGTATTGGATGTACTGTTGGGGTGACCCATGTCAAGTGTGTTGCATTGCTTGTATAAATGTGAAATTCCTTGCTTGTATAAAGGTAAGATTCCGGTGGTTTTGGATAGATATTGACTTTACAAGCAAAACTGTTTCATTGGTGGGTTGGCTCATCTTAAGCATGCTTCATTGTCTGCAATAGAGGTGAAATTGCTATGACTTTGGATTCCCTCATCTGGGTGGAATAGGGGAAGCTGTGGTGATAATTCATAACACACACACACACACACACACACACACACACACACATACCTTCCCTTTCACTCTGCCTCCTGAAATAACGTGCAAGTGGGCCGGCACACGGGGATGTGGGCAGCTGCCGCTCAACCACAATCAACGTGGGCAGCCTTGTACATAAAAGGCACAGTAAAAGGGGAGCTGCAAGAACAAATGGAAGGGGTACCCCAAGGACAACCAAAAAACTGTCTAAGTATAAAATTGCTTTAATATGTTGGACTGTCTCATCTCAAATGTTCTCGTTGTCTGCCATAGGACAAAGACTGCTTTGATTCTGAATCTATTCATCTGGGTGGAATTGGGGCTGTTGTGGGGAAAATCTATAACATACACACACACACACACACAGAGTCTGGTAGAACATGGAAAGATACAGTGCCATCGTAATGCATCGCTCCACTGCTCATCCTATTTGCAAATTGGAAATGAATCTTCCAGTAGAACAACAATGGAAAGATACATCGCCATCGTAGGGTGCCGCTCCACTCCTCACCCAATGTGCAAATTGAGATGAATCTTCCGCTAGAACATGAATAGATACACTGCCATCGTAGGGCGTCACTCCACTGCTCAATGTGCAAATTGAGGATGAATCATCCACTAGAACATGGAAAGATACACCACCATGTGTTGAATCAAACGCTGAGACGGAGCAAAAAAAACGAATTGGAAGGGTGCACACAACCTGACGAGCCCTAGAACAAAAAAGAGCTTGCCGAAAGAAAAAAAAAACAATGCGTGATCTGAAAACCTGAAACGAACCGCAGAGGACAGGGGCCGCGCGAGAACGAATCACAAAAGGCTGCGCGAGAACGAATCACGAACGTCGCGCAAGAACGGAAAACACAAAATAGACAACTCCACCCTGTCTCCCTTTCCCTGGGAACGACGCAAACAGGAAATGCCGTGCGGGAACGAATCAGAAACGTTGCGTGGGAACGAACCGTAAACGCCGCGTGAGAAAGAAAGAGACAAATCAGACATCTACGCCCTGTATCCCTTTTCTTGGGCCTGACCCACTGGTAGCCAACCCATCTTAATCTTATTGTCTGCTTGTGGTTTTGGCTTTCCCGTGATTTATCCAACTACTGAAGTCTAGTACCTTAAATTTGTGCCAAATGGTCGGTGCCTTTTTGTATAGTGTGCCCGCAACACTTCTAGGGTGAGACTGTGTTTCAGATGCGTTTGTCTCTTTGTTTTTCGCTGGTGATGGACATTCGTTGGGTTGCTTCCTGGCTCTTAATCGTGGCGTGAGCCTACAGTCTGCTGGGTTTTTCACATGATATGAGTAGGTGGTAGTCCACATAGTTCCTTGCTGCGGCCATGGGTTTCTGTGTTGCTGGGTGTCATGCTGTGTTGGTATCCTGCCTGCCCAGTGCTCGCCGACCTGCCTGCTGGCATGCCATGCCGTTGAGTGCCTTGTTTCCTCACTGCTTGCTGCACTGCTTTCCTGCACTGCCTTGCTGCTTGTTTTACCTTGCTGCCTTGTTCCCTTTCTGCTTGCCATGCTGCTGTTCTGCTTGCCTTGTCGTGCCACCTTGCTGCCTCACTGCCTGGCTGCCTTGCTGCCTTGCTGCCTTGCTGCCTTGCTGCCTCGTGGCCTTGTTGCCCTCCTGCCTCACCATTATATTGTAATTTGTAAGTGTTTTTTTTTTGTTTTTTTTTTTTGAACAGGTCCTTATGGTCCTGGCTCCTTACCATTCTGGGGAGCATCAGTCCGGTTCCTATTCCCCTGGCAAGTCAAGAATGAATACATCAATATACACGGTCATGCTTCCTTCCGTATGGCCGAAGGACCCCTGACCAGCATTGATTACTCCTTGAAGGAGGATTGACTGTCAGCTTGCCTGTCCCTTAGTTCTCTCTCAGATTCCATATTGAAAACTGCCAGATACTGCAATTAAGGCAAGGAGAAGGGAGATAAGCTGCTGATTGGATCCTGGTCCGCCTCTTATGCCTCTGGAGTCCCCCATTGGTACATTCTGCAGCTCACTGAGTGTTTCCCCCGACAGCAGACAACTGCTTGGTGAGTGGTTCCCAGGGGGGTCTCACGTACCCCTGAGATCTTGTTGTTCCTTCTGGAAGGGGCCCCTCGTTCCTTAAGGGGTAGCTGAATTGTGCCAGTCTTTCCATCTGATTTGTAGGGCGTGAATGTCTGCTATCTTTCCCTGGACCAGCCACACACTCCTGAACTTAGCTATCATTTCCTGTTATTTGTCCGGGTCCTGCTGAATTTGAAGCTTGACCTTTTTCCATTGGCAGCGTATGTCAGTCTCCATGAGAATTTTCGTCGAGGACCATACTTGTTCCGGCGGCATGCTGGAGTTGTCAATGGTCCGACTGCACCTCTCCTTCCATATGACCCCCAGTGTCACCTTTCTGATTATCCTGAACCAGATGCGCTCCGACTTGTTGAATTGGGAGGGGAGGTTAGTCCATAGGAGTAGCTGGATGGGGTGTTCAGGTAAGGGAGAAGGAAATAGGTGGTCCCCGAGAGCTGCGGCTCTCGCCCATATGTCAGTAGCAAAGCTGCAAGTTATCAGACAGTGTAGCATGTCCTCTTGTTCGTTATCAGAGCATATGGTGCATTGTTCTGAACTGTTAGGGTCACTGTTTCACCTGTGGACGTGTAACCATGTGTTCACTAGGATGGCATTGTAGGTGATCAACCATTGAAGACTTCTGACTTTGACTGGGCGAATTGATTTGTATTTCCTCCAGGGGAAATTGGGGATTGGTTCCATTCTCTGACCAAGCGATTTGGTCCATCTTCCCTTGATAACCGGCTCCGGGTCCGTCGTTTTTAGTAGCATCCTACATCCCATTTTGACTGTGTACTGCGTTATCGAGATGGGTGTTTTGCAAAATCTATTGCTACTCGAGAGCCAAGCCCATTCTTCTGGGTCGAATTCTAGGTTCTGGATTGGAGTATTGTTTTTGGCCACGTACCCAAAACTCTTATTTTTTGAAGTGTGTATGAATTGAGGGTTGCTTCTTGTGGGTCAACGTTGTTGATGGTGAGAGTTTTGATATTGGAGCGGTCTATAGGGAAGGAGGTGAAAAATGCCGATAGGTCAGCACCTGAGGATCTGCGATAGAATTGGTAGGCTTTCTCCGGTATAGCTTCCTGAATTGAGACTCCCCATTCCCCCGCTTTCCATGTGAATTCTTCCTTTAGAAGATCTTTCCAGCCATCTGGGATGCTATTCACCACAGTAGTCAGATTTTCGTCTCTGTTGTGGCATCCTTTCAGGTGTTGCCTCAATTGATCTTCATCTATCCATTTTTTCCTCTCTTCGTCCCATATGTGTGCTACCCTCCAGATTCCATGTTTAACCCATGAAAGCCATCGCTGTCCGTTCGATAGGGACAAGGGTAAGTCCCCCGCGTCTCTTATGCATTGGTTTCCGAAAAGGGGCTGTCGTAGGACCTCTTCTTTAGACTTTGGTGTTGTTACTTTTTTCGGCATGATGCTTGATCCGGATGAGGGCCGACCAGTAGGGGCTTGGAGAGGTGACTCCACTTTGTTGTGAAGTCGGCCTCCGCCTTCTCCTTCCTGTCTTGGGAGACCAGTCCTTATTCATAACCTTGAATAATCCAGACATATTCACCGGTGACTGGACTGGGGCTATGGCTCGTACACTATCAAGTGCACGCTTGTGCCAGACCTGCCTTGGTTGAGTTAGCAGTTTAATTATCCATTTCATCTGCAAGGCTTTGTTTCCTGTTTGGGGTCAATTATACCTAGCCCTCCTTTAGAAGGTTCCCTCGTTATGAAGTGCCATGCTATTTTGGGGATGTATCTGGTTTTGTTAGGGTCCCCTGACCATAGATACGCTCGTGCTCTGCTGTTACGTTCTTTGATCGTGTGGTCAGGTATCGTCCAAATGGACGTGATGTACCACATCATCAAAAAGATGGAGGTGTTCAGCGTTAGGGCTCTCCCTAGCAGGGAGGTGTATTGGTCCCCCCATTGGCCCATTCTGTGGATTTGCTTAGTTAAAACTTAACAGGCTTTGCGCCATTTGCGGGGCTGGGCTTTCCCTGGAAACCATGATACCTAAGTACCTAGTTGGTTCCTCGAGTTGTTCCCATTGTCATGTTCGCTTCTAGTCCCTCCAGCTGGGGTCTCTCCTCTTCTGTGAGCCACCATCCTATGGTTTTTTTCCAGTTGATCTTCATTTCTGAGGCTAGCCTGACTGTTTCCATCGCTCTTACTAATGCTTTGATTGACGAATCTGAGGCCCTGATTAAGACAACGAGGTCATCCGCGAACATTATTACTGGTGGGAATTGAATATGGTGCGGTGTGCCCATGTCAAGGTCCGGTAAACGTTGAATTGATGGGTCTTTACGCAAAAAGGAGGCAATGGCTTCCAGCATAAATAAAAATATAGGTGGAGCGAGAGGATCGCCCTGTTGTACTGAGCGAGAAATTTGATATCTTTCAGATAACAGTCTGTTGATCTGGACACAACCAGATGTGTCGCTATAGAGGATCCTTACCCACTTCCTAAAGTTATTTCCGACTCCCATTTTTTCCATGCTTGCGTTAAGGAATGCCCAATTGACTTGGTCGTATGCCTCCTCAAAATAAAAAAAACAATATTGTTTTGTTCAATCGCTTCTCTCTTACTTTTCGGGAGACCTCGTTCATTGTAAGGACGTTGTCCAAAATGTACCTGCCTGGGATGAATCCAGCTTGGTCTATATGGAAGCACTTGTCTGTAAGGTCAAAAATTCTGAGGGCCAATACTTTTGCTAGAATCTTGTGGGGGAGAGTAAGAAGAGAGATAGGTCTGTAGTTTCGAACGTCTTCACGGTCTCCTTTTTTATAAAGTAGGGTCACCACGCTGCTACTCAGAAATTCGCCCATACCTCCCTTTTCCCAGCTATCTTGGTAGAACTATAGGAGGTCATTCCCCATGACTGGCCAGAACAGGTCCCAAAATTCTTTGGTGAGTCCGTCTATGCCTGGACACTTGTCATTGTTCATGCTTTTAAGTGCTGTTTTTAGTTCTTCAACGGTAATTGGTTTGTCCAGCGCTGCAGCCTGTTCTATTGTAATTGTTTTGTCCAGATATTGAAACATTTTTTACCTTGCCTCTCTTACTGTTGTGGGGGGGGGGAAGAGGGTTTTCTTCTGGTACAGCTCCTGGTAAAACCCTTTGGCTGTTTGTAGCATCCCTTCACTGTCTGTTCTGGTGCTTTGTTCACATGTGCATTCTTTTAGTCCTTCTATCGTGTTGGATCTGTTGTTTGCTTTTATTCTGGCAAAAAAACGTTTGCTTATTGATTCATTTAACTCATAGTCAGTCATTTTTGCCCTTACCTTGAGACCTCTCAGCTCCCACACTCCATAATGACATCTCTTCCCTAGCTTGTTCTAGGGTAGCTGTGTATAGGGGTGAATAGGGATCCCTCATGAGGTTGGCTTCAACAATTTTTATGGTCGTTTCCTTTGTTTGCGGTCGTTTGCTAGTTGTCGGGATATTCGGGCAGTTGATTGTGATAGCTAGAGGTAGCTCTCTTAAAACCACTTCCATCTGTCTTGGCGCTCTAAGAGCATGCCTCTGGAGTTAAGCCAACATTCTTGAATCCTCTCTCTGAAAGTCTGGCTTAGGAGTAGGGAGTTGTTGAGTTTGTGGAAGTTGGCTCCTTTTGTAATGTATTGGTCGAAACATAGGATTAGCTCGATGGTTTTGTGGTCAAGTCCCGGGTAGGGGGCAAGTGCCATAATGCCGGCTTCCTTGACCGCGCCTATCATAGATTCGGAGGCTAGAAAATAGTCAATCCTAGAGAAGGCTGTGTGGTGGGCGTGATTTTTCTGGACCAAGGAGAAGGCCTTTGTATCAGGGTGTAATGTGTGGAATGGGTCAACCAGACTATGATCCATCATTAGCTGGAATTATATTGTAAGTTCTTTTTCTTGTTCTCCTAAGAGTTTTTTCTATGTTGTTGTCTACTTGCTATGTGGTTTTGGCTTTTCCCGTGTTTTTTCGAAGTGTTGAATCCTAGTCCCTTGAAGTTGTGCCAAATAGTTGGTGTGTTTTGTATGGAGTGCCTGCAGCATTATTAGGGGGTGGCTGTGTTGCAGATGCCTGTGTTCCATTTTTTTCGCAGGTGATGGACATTCATCGGGTGGTTCCTGGCTCTTGATGGTTGCTTGCTGGGTTTTCCATATGATGTGAGTAGGTGATAGTCCACCTTGTTCCTTGTTTCGTCCATGGGTTCCTGCGTTGCTGGGTGTCTTGCTGTGTTGGTGTTCCAGCCACCTGCCCACCTGCCTGCCCGCATGGCTTGCTGCGTACTGATCTGCCTTGCTGCTTGTCTTGCCTTTCTGCCTTGTTGCTTGCCTTGCCTTGTTCCCTTTCTTCACACTGTGCTGCGCTGCTGCTTACCTTGCCGTACTGCCTTGCTGCCTTGCTGCCTCACTGCCTTGTTGTCGTCCTGTCTTGTCATATTAGTAGTATATAACTCCTTTTTCTTATTCTCCTAAGCGTTGTCTATGTTGTTGTCTACTTGCTACATGGTTTTGGCTTCTCCCATGCTTTCATTCAGTACGGAAGTCTAGGACCTTTATTTTGTGTCAAATAGTCGGTGCCTGTATAGAGTGCCTGGAACACTATTAGGGGACGGCTGTGTTTCCGATTCCTGTGTCTCTGTGTTTACCGCTGGTGATGGACATTCATCAGGTGGCTTTCTGGCTTGCAGTGGTTGTGTGAACCTACAGTCTGCTGGGTTTTCCATATGATGTGTGTCGGTAATAGTCCACTTTGTTCCCTGGTAAGTCCATGGTTTCTGTGTTGTCGGTGTCATGCTCTGTTGGTGTCCCACCCACCTGCCCACCTGCTTGCCTGCCTGCCTTGCCATTCATTTTCTCTGTTGCTGTGCTGCCTTGCTGCCTTGTTCCCTTGCTGCTCCCCATGCCGCCGTGCTGCTTGCCTTGCTGCCTTGCTGCGTCACTGCCTCGCTGCTTGACTTCCTTCACTGCCGTGTTCCCCTCGTGTCTTGCCATTATCATTTCTGTGTGTGCTTTCTTTCTTTTGTACCCGTTTTCGTCTGCACTCATGCATGTATGCTTGCATGTTTGTGTATGTGTGCATGCGCTTGGGTGGCTGGTACAACCTTTTTGTCTTTTCTGCAATGCTCTTTGTTTGTTTTGTCACAGCATCGTGTTCGGGTTCGGTTTTGGCGCTCGTTCATGACCGAACGCGAACGAGCGCCAAAACCCTCCAAACGCAACATAAAATATTTTTTGCCTGGGAGCTATGCTCAAATTCGTAACCAAACTCGAGTCTAAAAATCAAAGACCAATAACTATTTTTTTTTCTTTTTTTTTCTTTTTAATGTGTTCAACAGAACACGTTCGGGAGGCATGCAGTCGAACACCCAAACATATTCGGACATTCGGAAAAGCTCCGAACATGTTCGGTGTGCAACACAGGTTTTGTGACCTGTGCTCTCCTTTCTGCACTCGTTGCCCACGCACATGTCCTCTTTTATCGCTCTTTTCGTCTCCCCTCTCCCTTTTGTCCTGCGGTTGGATTCTTTTCGTCTCTATGGAACTCCCACACTCTTACAATAGGCGTTGTGAGATAATCGTGTTGATCAACGTTCATCCTCGTTCGCTCCAGAGAATGCTACACCCCGGTTCCATGGCGTGCAGCAAACATTCTGTTAGAGAACTGCTTGAACTCAGACAATCGCCTTTAGAGAACTGCTTGAACTCAGACAATCGCCTTTGATACTCACCGATCTAGGGGCTCGACCAAAAGTTTGAGTGTGTATCGGCATGCAGCGGGGCATTCCACGGACCGTGCGGCCGATACACCATAAAGGGGAAGGGATATTTTATAAATTCTTATCAAATAAGTTAATTTAACAGATTTGTTGATTATTCCATTGGTTACTTGGTTGTTCGATTGTTTGATTGATTGCATGGCAGTGTGACGGCCGGTGTGGTATCAAATATGTGGCCTCCATGTCTGTCATCTGGGTCTGCTGCGGTCGGCCCTTCATTGCTGATGTTGGACATGCGATGTCTTCCAGGTAGTCTCCCTGCTGCCTCACCCCCCCAATTAGACATGCGCGTCCCTTCCTTTCCTTAAAAGGTATCTGTAATGACCCGCCAAAACACAGACTGAGAACACTGCTGATTTCTGAGTTCTGCCGCTGGACTGGATGCCTTGCTGAGATTCTCGCATTCTGCTGAGTTTTCTAAGTCTGTGTGTGTGTGCATGCTTGATGGTCTGCCACTCTGCGTGCCTGTCTGAGTGCTGGTCAGCCTGAGTGTGTGTGTGACCCGCAAGGGTGCTTGCTTGTTTGGGAGGCCCGTAGGGCCGGTACTTACCTGTGGCCGTGACATTGAGTGTTGCAGCGGGGGAAAAACACTCAAGTGGCGGGGCACGAGGCCCGCGACACTTAGGGCAGCGGAAAAACACTCGAGTAGCAGGTAGGCCAGTACCACACCAAGTAGAAGTAAATGTGTCGGGTACTCGAGGCCGAGCAGAAGAAGACAAAAGTTGGCATTTTTAGAGGCCCAGTAGTTGTAGGCTAGGTCTAGGCGTGGGTACCAGTCCAACCAGTCTGAGTCTAAGGCCTGTACGGGCAGTATCAGAGTCTGCAATGATGTTTCCCTCCGAAAGGGAGGAGGTACCGGTTGCTTGGAGGCCGTGCGGCCTGGGAAGTCACCGCCCAAGAGGCAAGTAGGCCGCTATATCTCCAGGAGGAGCAAAGTGCTCCTTCTCATTCTTCGGTGTGCAAGTTTGGCGACACACTGCTTGGAGCGTTGGTTGGAGAAGAGCTGGACATTACAGCGCTGCTAGGGGGAAGGAGACCCGGAGCTCCCACCTCGGCTATGGTGGAGTTCCACCGGTAGGAAGAGGAGGAAGAAGAGGGCTAGGAAGGAGATTGGTGAGGTACCTACCTGGCTATGGTGGGCACCATCTTCATCACCTTGTTAGGCGCTGCATCTGGAAGGCCCCAGTTGGGGTTGCGCCGCACCAAGACGGCTTCAAGGCGGAGTCAGGCATGGCGGCCTGAACAGCAGCGAGCATAGCTGCTTTGTGTTGTCCTTCGCACAGCAGAGCGAGGCCCTAGTAGTCAGCCATAGCCTTGGCCTACATGAAGAGGAAGAAGAAGGGTGGCCAAAGCTATGGTGGACCTCATGTTGTGCCTGCAGTAGAAGATGGATTCGGACATTGATTCTGGTTCAGCCATTCAACATTATTATTATTATTTATTGTTTGAATACGAGGGGAGGAGAAAAGGAGGAGGAGAGTGGTTGGCGAAGAAGAAGGGAATTAACATTGGTCTTTGCCGTGTACATCTTCTTCTTCTTCTTTCCTTCATCATCATCTTCTTCTTGTTCTTTCCCTCTCTCTCTCCTCTCAAGTTCATTCATTTCTTTTGCAATTGGACGGAATTGTGCTTTCTCATGAATGTGTACTTCGAAATTGGCCAGGATCGTAACATACCCATGGTAAAAGGTACGGAGAACCCAAGATTGAGGCTGAGGTCCCTCAATGCAACAAATCGGCGTCAGTGCTCAAGGCTATCTCATGAACAAAAAAAAAGAGGCACTAAGCTCCTACAGGAACAGGAGTTATCCAACCTCTCCACCTATCCTCTGCCTGGTTCTGTTTCTATTGCTTGTCTATTCCGCGCAGGATTCATCTTTCTCCTTGCCTTTGACTTGTGAAGGCTATCCAGCCTGTTCTCTGCCAATCCTGACTTTTACCCCCTCCACACCCATTGCATGTCTCCTTCTTTGCGACCTCCATTGGGAAGGACTACCTGGCCATACCACCAGAATAGCCGTAAAGGCTCACTTCCTACCCAGTCTTTCTCGCCCCCAAAAAAAACTCTCGAGGCCCCTTCTATTCTGGGTGCCATCAGTCCGGTTGCTTATCACTGGCAAGCATGTTTTGTACAAAGCCATCTAGCCCTTGTGGCACTAGACGCCTAAGCAAGGGGGCTCTGCTATGGATCACCCCACAACCCACCTTGGCCCTCTACGGGGGTTGTTCTACTGGTCGGGAGGCTTACTAGCAGCACCCAGGCATGCAGTACTACAATCCCCAGGGGGGCATGGCGCAGGAGGGGGGGGCGTTCCGTGCAGTCCTTCAGGCCGCATACCAAGTCCTCAGCTGCTCCTTTACATGTCTAAATCATATCCAAATCATGTCTGCATCAATTCTACTTCCTGTTGTTCCCCGTCCCTTTCTCAGTCTCGGCAGACCCCGAATCCCCAGGTAATTGGTCTATGACGGTCTGCTATTCTGAGCCTACCTTGCCTCTATCAAACCCATCCTAGTATTCCACCTACCAATGTGTGTACAACTGTAACCGAATTGGGACCGAATTTCCCAATTCATCCGCCTAGGTGTTTCCTATTGTACTTATCGCCCCAGCGTTTTCCCTGCTACCTTCTACTCCCTCCATACCTATTCCCAGCGGCATCCTGTGTTTTAGTGTTCTGTGTTTTTTGAATTTTTAAACTGATACCCCCTATGAGCTAACTCCTCCCCTTGTACACTCTATCCCATCTGTTTGTGACCACCTCCTACTGCGAACCTATCTATTATAATATATCTAACCTACTCGTCTTGGCCATCCTATCCATGCCTAACTATGGTAGAAATCGGTTGCTTTCATGGAAGTCAAATCCCCTGGCACGATTCCTCCTCTGTCTCAGTCGTAGGTGCGTGGCACATCAGCAGTGGGCCGAAGTGCATCTGGCCTGTCTGAGAGTCCCGAGTGAGCAGCTGCGGGGGTACGGCTCCCATCTTGCCCAGAAGTCCTTCTGGTCCGCTGCGTGCTTACTTCGGTGCAGGTCTGCCAGGAGGGCGAATCTGATGTTCTCCAGCGCTCATTCCTGATATGCCTGCAGCGGTGGAGATGCTCCCTGTCGAAGTTGCTCGTTCCACAGGGGATGTTTTTTTTTTTTTTTTTTTTTTTTTTTTTTTTTT